GGAGGAGAAGTAGGAGGAAGAGGAGGAGGAGAAGGAGGGGGAGGAGGAAGAGCGGGAAACGGAGGAGGAGGAATAATAATAGGATTAATACTGCTAAGGCGACTAATAATTCTACTACTCATAATATTATTAGGAATACGGCGAATACTAATAATACCATTAATAAGAGTAAGACGAATCATCATAATCATACGGATAAGAATAAGCAACCTGCACACTCATACGAACACTAATACCATTACTAAGACCAGTACTGACACTAAGAATTTTATAAGGACTACTAATAATATCACACTAATAATAATAACAAGCATGATAATAACAATACTAATGATAAGCCGACGAGTGCTAATAAACATACGCATAACACTAAGGCGACGAAGAAGAAACCGAAGAGGAGGAGGAGGAGGAGGAGCAGCGAGAAGGAGGAGGAGGGGGATAATGCTGAGGAGGAGGAAAAGGAGGAGGCGGAGGAGGAGGAAGACGATGAGGAATAGGAGGAGGAGGAGGAGCAGGAGGAGGAGGAGGGGGGAGGGAACGGAGGGCGGAGGAGGAGGAGGAGGCGGAGGAGGATGAGGAGGAGGAGTGAGGATGAGGAAGAGGATGAGGAGGTGGAGGAGGAGGAGGAGGAGCTAGGAGGAGGTATGAGGAGGAAGAGGGGGATGCTGATGATGATGATGATGATGATGATGATGATGATGATGATGTTGATGATGATGATGATGATGATGAGGATGATGAGGAGGGATGAGGAGGAGGAGGAGGTAGGAGGAGGAGGGGGAGGCGGAGGCGGAGGAGGATGATATGAGGAGGAGGGAGAAGGAGGGATACGGATGAGGAGGGTGGAGGAGGATGGGGAGTAGGAAGAGGAGGAGGATCAGGGGGAGGAGGGGGATGTGGAGGAGGATGCGGAGGATGAGGAGTAGGATGATGATGAGGAGGACGATGAGCAGGATGAGGTGGTGGAGGAGGAGGGGGAGGGGAAGAGGATGATGATGATGAGGAGGAGGAAGACGATGACACCTACTACTAATGATACTAAGAACCCGACGGCGACTAATCATACTAGTAGCAACGCGAATACGAATACTGGTAAGATGGAGAGGACGATCATGATTGACACTAAGAATACGAATGCGAGTCATACAAAGAAGGACCACCATCGTCATTTTAATACCGACGAATAATACTAACACTAGTAATATGATAACAATAGTGCTAACAATTCTCCATTTTATGAAGAGTAAGCGCGCTAAGATCAACAGTGCTAGTACCACTACTGGTAATACCAGTAGTAGTATTAACAGTCATAGTATTACTTTTACTCGTGTCATTACTAGTACTAATAGCACTGATAATATTCATAGTTCTGAAACTAATGCTACCACTAATACTATTACTCATACTAATACTAATACCAATACGGGCACTACTATTCGCATTATCGTTGTTACCAATACTAATAATACTAATATTGCTTCTCGTACTGTTAACAGTGCTAAGGCGAATGTTAACAGCAATACTTGCACCCAATAGTACTAACACTACTACTGATGCAACCAATACTAATGCGCATGCTGCTACTTTTGGTATAATTGGTGGTACTAGCACCATCAATAAGGTCATTCTAAGAATACCACTACCACTCACAACGATAACAACACCGATACGATTAATCCATATGCTTCTAATACTAATACGACGGTCATTAAAGCTAGTCGTATCAATTTGAACTACCAATCGCAGTGCCAATAATAATGATAATGTTAGTATTACTATCCATACTACTCTTACTGTTAATGATAACAGACTTGGGACACCTAATAACACATATACTACCAAACATAAGACTAATATCATAGATGGCACGTCTCGTACTGATGCTCACATCCAATTTAATACCACAAATACGAATACTACTACAGGGAATACTACTGAACAAAAGAAGCGGAATCCTAATACGAATGCCGATGCCAATGGTACAACGCACAATAATATGAGGAGGCGGAGGGGGAACCGGAGGAGGAGAAGAGGATGCGGAGGAGAAGGAGGAGGCGGATAATGAGGAGGAGGAGGAGGAGGATGAGGAGGAGGAGGAGGAGGAAGAGGAGGAGGAGGAGGATGAGGCGGAGAAGGAGGAGGGGGAGGAGGAGGAGGAGGAGAGGAAAAGTATGAGGAGGATGAGGATGAGGAGGAGGAGAGGAGAAGGAGGAGGGGAGGAGGCGAGGAGGAGGAGGAAAAGGGGGAGGAGGAGGAGGAGGAAGCGGAGGCGGAGGAGGAGGAGGACTAGATGAGGAGGAAGGAGACAGAGGGAGACGGATGAAGAGGGCTGAGGAGGAGGAGGAGGAGGAAGAGGATCAGGAGGAGGAGAAACAGGAGGAGGAGGAGGAGGATGTGGAGGCGGAAGAAGATGATGATGAGGAGTAGGATGATGAGGCGGAGGAGGACGATGAGCAGGATGAGGTGGTGGAGGGGGAGGAGGAGGGGAGGAGGATGATGAGGATAAGAATGGGGGAGGGGGACGAGGAAGCCTACTACTAATAATACTAAACGTCAGACGGCGACTAAGCATACTAGTAGCACTACGAATCATCATAATGGAAAACAGAAGACGAACATGACTAGTACTAAGGATACCATTGCGAATTGTACAAATAATGAACGTCAGAGTCAGTTCAATACCTACGAATCATACTAACAATAAAAATGCTAATAACAATGGTCATGTTATATTTGTTACGTTTACGAATGCTAATCATATTAACATCAACAATGCGATTACCACTCATGATAATACTAGTAGTAATATTAATATTCATATGTATCACTACTACTACTATTACGAGTGATAGTACTACTAGCACTAACAGTCTTAATAGTATTAAAACTAATAATATCACCACTACTACTATTCATATTAATGTTACTTCGCACACTAATCATTGCTAGGCGTACGAATAATACTAATATTACTAGTAATGCTAAACGTGCTAATGCGAATGTTCATCGTAATACTTGTACCAGTAATGCTAACATTACTAATGGCAACAGTAATACTAATACTAATGATACTGGTCTTCATAGTAATAATGGTAATCGCACCGTTGGTAAAGTCAAGTCAGTAATAGTAGTACCAACCATAACAATACTACCATCGATGCGACTAATGCAGATCCTACTGTTTTTTTTTATATTATTGTACATGAAACTAGTAGTAACCATGACGGCATACTATTACTACTGGTAATACTGATCATAATACTACTACTACTACTACCCATACTACAATTACTGATCATATGCATATTTCTGACAGAAACAAACACACGTACATTACCAGCCGTACTACTACTATCATTGATAATACTGCTCATACTGCTACTGTTGTTACTCATATCCATAATACGATCACGACTGCTAACAATACTAGGGGTAGTACAACTGAACAAAAGAAGAGGCACCCTACTACGAATACCAATGCTCATGACAAAACGTACAGTAATACGAGGAGGAGGAGGAAGAGGGGGAAGCGGATGAGGAAGAAGAGGATCAGGAGGAGACGGAGGAGGCGGATAATGAGGAGGAATCGGGGGAGGAGGAGGAGGAGGAGGAGGAGAAGGAGGAGGAGGAGGAGAGGAGGAGGAGGGGTGGAGGAGGAGAGGGAGGGGAGGAGGAGGCGGAGGAGAGGAGGAGGAGGAGGCGTAGGGAGAAGGAGGAGGAGAGAGCAGGGAGGAGAATGAGGAGAGGAGGAAGAGAAGAGGAGGAGGAGGAGAGGGAGGAGGGGAGGAGGAGGAGGAGGAGGAGGAGTGAGGAGGAGGAGGAGGATGAGGAGGAGGAGATGACGAGGCGGAGGAGAAGGAGGAAAGGAGGAGGAGGAAGAAGAGGAAGATGAGGAGGAGGAGGAGGAGGAGAGGAGGAGGAGAGGAGGAGGAGAAGGATGAGGAAGGAGAAGGAGGAGGGAGGAGGAGGGGGAGAGGAGTAGGAGGGAGGAGGAGGAGGAGGAGCATGAGGAACACGTTTGGGACGAGGAGGAAGGTGATGATGATGCTGATGATGATCCTGCTGCTGCTGAATGATTATGATGTTGTTGCGATGGTGAGGACGATGCTGATGCTGATGCTGCTGATGATGAAGATGATGAGCTGCTGCTGCGGATGCTGATGATGCTAAGCCTGATGCTAGTGATGAATGATGCTGATGATGCTGCTGCTTGATGATGATGATATGATGATGATGAATGAGATGATGATGATGATGATGATGATGATGATGATGATGATGATGATGATGATGATGATGATGATGATGATGGTGATGGTGATGCTGATGCTGATGATGATGATGATGCTGATGCTGATGCTGATGCTGATGCTGATGCTGATGCTGCTGATAATGATGATGATGATACGGGGGAGGAGCATGAGGAACACGTCGAGGAGGAGGAGGAAGAGGTGGAATAAGCGGAGGAGGAGCAGGAGGAGGAGGATGAGGAGGAACCCGCCGCCGCAACCCGCCCGCGCGCCGACCAAGCGTGGCCCACCCGCCCGCCGTGGGGGGGCGGCGCGTGGGCCGCGCGGGGGCCGCGCGCGAGGGGTGCGCGCGCAGGCCGCTGGCACGGGCTGGGGAGTTCTCGACCCCCTGCCGCTCCTCTGCTCACCGAGCGCGTTCCACTATTCGCAAGGTGCCTCCTCGCAAACGTCAGAAAAATGAGCTCGGACCGATTCATGTATCGTAAGTCCCCCGCGGCGGATTCAGGCCGTTTGCGAGTAGTTACTCTGCGAGTAGTTATTCTGCGAGTAGTGGAACGCGCTCGTCTATCTGGGTACGGATAGCATGGGGACGTGGCTGTCTTTTCTCCCTTTTCCTCCCTTTCCTTTTCCCGTCGCTGTTGCATCGTCGGATAGTTGTTCGGGCCACGGTATATAGCATAAGTTTGCCTATTGCAGGTCGGCTTCTTCGGTGCTCACCGTTTGCCCAGTAACCTTTTGATCTGCGATGTTCTTGTGGCACCCGCGCGTTTCGTGCGAGGAAAAAGGGACATGCATGGGGACGAACATCGGCAGCAGTTCCTGTTCATCTTGAACAGGCATCGCTGTCGGCCTCGCCGCGGACGGTGTCCGTTTGAGATAACCAGTCGCTTGCTCGCAGCGGCCGCTGTCGAATTTGAGCAGCATTTGCAGCTGGGCAGCATTCCCTCTTCTCCTCCCTCTCTCTCTCTCTCTCTCCCTTTTTCGTCCTCCTCTCCTGCTGCCCCCCGACTCCTCCCCTGTCCCCTCCTCCTCCTCTCCCTCCTCCTCCTGCTCCTCTTTGTCACCGGATGAATTTCGAGGTTACCAAAACAGTCCTCCTCCTTTCTCCTTCCTCCTGCCCCTTCCTTCGCCTCATCCCTCCTCCTCTTCCATCCCTCCTCCAGCTCATCCCTGAATGAGGGTCGGGATAACAAAAAATCCCAACCAGTCCTCATTCTCCTCCTCCTCCTCCTCCTTTCTCCTCCTCCTCCTCCCCCTCTCGTCTCCTCCTCCCTCCTACTCCTCTTCCTCCTCCTTTCTCCTCCTCCTTTCTCCTCCTCCTCCTCCTCCTCCTCCTCCTCTCCTCCTCCCCCTCCTCCTTTCTCCTCCTTCCTCCTCCTTTCTCCTCCTTTCTCCTCCTCCTCTGCCTCCTCCTCCCCCTTCATCCCTCTCCCACTCCCTCGTCCCCTTTTGCCTCCGCGGGTCGTGCGGCAGGCGCAGACCGGTCTACGCAGGGCCGCCGGGGCGGACAAAGAGCAGAGGGCCACGCCGAGAGCGCGCAGAAGGAACGCCCAGAGGGGCGCAAGCCCAGAGGAGTGGCGCCAAGAGGGGTCGTGGGGACGCCCAGCCCAAGGACAAAGGGGGGACGAATTGGGGGAGGGAGGGAAAGGGGCGAGGCCAGGAGCGGGGCGAGGCCGAAGCGGAGCAGGGGCAGGGGAGGAGAAGCCATGAGGCGGGGGGAGCGAAAGGGGAAGGGAAGAAACAATAAGACAATAAGAGGAGCAAGGCGGAACATCGGCGGAACCCGAACGGACGCGAACGCGACAACGACCGGGGACAAGGGCGACAGCACGAACCGACACGATAGGACGACGACCACGACCCTCCTCCTCCTCTTCTTCCTCCTCCTCCTTCTCCCCCGTCCTCCCTCCTGCGCCGTTCTGGTCCCTTGGGAGGCTTTCTTCCTCTGGCCGCGTTTAAGGAGCCACGTACCGATGCGCTCTCACTGCTTCAAGGAAACACCCTTCTCATCCTCTTCCTCCTTCTCTTAAGTCGGGCCTGTCCCTCTACAGGGGGAATGCTCAAAAATAGTCAAAACATAGTATGGGGACTATTTTTTGAATACTTTTTGACCATTTGGAGTATTTTTGGAGTATTTTTCATTTTTCGTCGAAAATCCCCGTGTAGGGGGACACGCCCGACTTGATTCTTCTCCCCTCAGCCTCTGGCCGGAGGGCCGGGATGGAGCTGCGGTCGGGCGACTTGGTCGAGGTCGAGGGTCTGAAGACGGCGGAGCTCAACGGCCCTCGCCTCGGCTGGAGGAGGAGGGAGGAGGGAGGAGGAAGCAGCAGGAGGGATGGGGAGGGAGGGAGGAGGGAGGAGGAGGAAAAGAGAGGGAGGGAGGGAGGGAGGGAGGAGGAAGAGGAGGGAAGGGAGAGGAGGGGAGGGAGAGGAGGGGATGGAGGGTAAGAGGAAGAGGAATAGTAAGAGTAACACTGATATTGCGAGTACGCGTAACAGTAACATCAGGATTATGAGTAAGAGTAACAGTAATAGTTCAACACTGGAGCCCCTCAAGGGCCCTCTTGGCCTTCTCAGCCTGACCATAAGGCTTTGGCCAGAGTCCTCGACTCGACTTATCCTGCCGAGGTATTCCGCACGGGTCGGGGTAGCGAAACGACTGCAAGCCTTCCACAGACTAATTTATTGCTGCTCACGAAACATGCCACACGCACAGCAAAACCACACATTCCACATGCCGTGAAACCGCAAGTCATGACGTGTGTGGGCCCAACCCCCTGCGATGTGCAACGCCGCACCCCTGGGAAGCGCCAGAAAGGACGCATCCACGGGAACGAGTTGAAAGCAGGGGCTGGCCCTCCATTTGCGTAGCTCCCCACGGAAGCGGACCTTCTGCACTGCAGACACTCACGGCCCGAATCGTCCAGAGCGTGGGCTCTCACCAGGATCGAGATGGTCTCCGACCGAGGGGGCAGCATGGGACAAACAGGGCGGGGAGGTTGGGGGAGGAGGAGGAGCAGGGCGAGGACCCTCTCCCTCACTCGCATCAGGCGATCGCAAACATGGATCGAGTGGGCGCGGATAAGCGACGGGTCCCGTTTCCAAGGGAAATCATGGATACCCGCCGCCGAGCGAGGCGGCACCGGCCGCATTTTGGGGGGGGGCACCTCCCCCGATCCATGTCTGCGCGCCCCCGATCACAAGCTCGCCTGTCCTCCCGCGGCCGCGGGAGCGCTCCTGTAGTAGCTCGTGCTCCTGCGCCTCCACGCTGACGATGTAGGTGGGTTGGAGAGGGGTCGGAGGAGGCGGCAGGTTTTGCTTCCGCCCAGGATCCTGACCCACAGAGGTCCTCGATGGCGTCCGAGGGGCGAGGAGGATGAGGAGGAGGAGGAGGAGGAGAAGGAGGAGGAGAAGTCCACACTTTTGCTGCCTCTTCCAATGGTCACGGCTTCGAGCTCTTGTCCATCGGCCGCCGAGCGTGATGGTCCTCCACGTGCGCACACCCGCGCTCCAGGTACGCCAGTAGGAGTCGGGAGGGAGAGTATTCTGCGCCGACGCCTATTCAGCCCACTAAATCAAATGGATGGCGACGACGGCCCTGAGGTTCACGCACTTGCAACCCCCTACGACCCCTGCGGAGGCACTACCACCAGCAGGAGGACCCGTTCAACAGGAGCATCAACATCCACGTCCACCTACCTTGGATAAGATCGCGAACGTGATACGCAAGGAGGTGCAACCTATCCGCAACACCATCAACGGCCTCGAACGCCGCCTGAATGAGATGAGCGGGACCATCAACACCAGGATCGAGGAGGTGGAGGAGAGCATCGAGGACCTCGCCATCCGCCTCACCAACCTTGAGAACCAGACCACCGAGCAGTCCGACGCCACGGCCACCCCCCGGAGCGACGACGCGGCCATCTGGGAGCATATCAAGATGTTGGAGGGTCAGGTTTCGGAGCTAAAAGTATCAGGCAAGGAACAACAATCAAACATGTCAGGGGAGGCAAAGCGGGACCGTACAGCAGTGATTGGAAAGTTGGTTGGTTTCGACTCTATGTCAGCAGCCTCTTCTTGGGTCAAAGACCTTCCTCGTTGTCGGCGCCTGCAGCTATGGACATATATTCAAAAGGCGACTTCCGGGACATTATCTTCGCGGTATTTGCAAGCGAAGCTGATCGAGACTTGGCAGTTGGATTGTTACGGAGTGCGAGCCCTGACCACGGAGGGACAACAATCTGGGTTACACAGGACAAGCCACCGTCCTTCCGCGCGGCTCGTAACGTATGTTTTGGCTTGAAGCGCATCCTCAACAACGAGCTGAACAACAAGTACAATATACAGATTGCAACCAACGGGTTTCCTGTCATAGTCTCCGTTGGTGGCGTTACTGCCCTTTCCGTGGGCGTGGACGAGTCGCACCTGGTACTGAAATGGGGCCCAGAGTGGGAAGCTTGGGAAGAACTTCAAAAACATCCCATGCTGACCGATCTCATCGCGAAAAACACCTCGTTGCTGGAGCGGGCCTGCGAGGGCATGAAAGGCACAGCAAAGGGAGGCTCCAAGGGTAAATAGGAAACACGGCCGGTTCCCAGAGCCGGCCCAGAAGATCTACATGTACATAGTTCTACCGCCATCGTGGGCAAAGATACCATTACCGCCGTTACGAACTTGGGCAAAGAAACCGTCGTACAGCGGAGAGCGGTCGTTTCATCTCCCTTACTCCACGACGCCGTTCCGCTCCATAGTCTTCTACCTCCTCCTCCTGGCCATCCCCATGGACAAAGTGACGGAGGGTGTCATGAACTATCATCCTCTTCCAGCCTCTCTTGAGGTAGACCTCGGTCTGCCTGCTCACCTTGCTGCCCCGGGCGCATGGGAACGTGGAGCATCGAAGGTTTACGAGGCGATTCCATCGTCAAGATCGACGAGATTATCGACATCATGCGCATACGCGAAATAGAGATTTTCATGTGTACAAGAAACGCACTTACATGGAGCAGAATACTACGAGCATAATGGCTACACGATTTTCTTGTCAGGCGAGCTGGACATAAACATCGCGTCGCACTCGGGTGTTGGGTTTGTGGCGTCGCCAAAAATATTGAAAAGTATTGTGGCCTTCAAGGCGTGCTCTCCCAGAGTGGCATCCGTACGAGTAAAAGTTAGACATGGCATGCTTACACTGCTTTCCACGTATGCCCCCCACACAACGGCCGCCCATATGCCGAGCGGCACACTTTCTACATTGACCTTCAGGTGCATATCCGAGCAACCACGGCGAACAGCACGACGTACATCATGGGAGATCTGAACGCTAGGCTCGTACGTGCCGGAGCTGGAGAGGAAGCCATCGTTGGTCCTCGCGTTTGTCAGTGCGCGGATGCTCCGGATAACGTGGTGCAGAACACAATTTCAAACATGCACTTCCTAGTGGAGTTATGTGCGTCTTGTGGCTTGCTGGTTGCAAACACATACCACGACCACCCTGACGTCATGAAAATTTCATATAGATATCTGGGCGTCGATCCGACGGACAACGAGATATCTGGGCGCAAGTTTGCTCAATTGGATTACGTTCTATGCCACCGCAGTGTTTTGCCTGCCTTGCGAGATTCCTGGACGAGCCGACTGGGCGTTCTCAATTCGCACCATGACCTAACCATTGTCGAATCAAATTTGGCGTTCAAGCGTCAGGAAACCTCAAAGAAGAAGCACGCGGACAAGGCAAGCCTCAAAGACCCCCACACCAGAGAGCGTTTTACATCAGCATTTGTTGGGGCCGTGGGCGTTTCAATTGGCAATGGCACTGAGTCTGTTGAAGCTATGAAAAGAAGGGTACGATACGGTGTCGAAAAAGCCTCAGCAACATTGCCTATGCGGGAGACGGTGCCGAAGCAAGCGTGGACAAGCCAGCGCACTCTTAATTTAATCGAGCTTAGAAGAGATGCACGTTCAGCTGGGGACCATAAAACCGAAAAGCGTTTACATAAGGAGATTCGGAAGTCTGGAGCTCAAGATCGCAAAGAATGGTTGGGGCTACTAATCCAAAGGGGAAGTTGGGAAGCAGTGCGACATCTCAGAAAACCTCCAAGCATCAAACACGCGACAATACAGCGCCCGGACGGGACCCTGGCAGACACAGCTGATCGAGCAGACGTTTTGGCCGACCACTTCGAAGACATCCAATGGCAAATACGCTTCCCAGAGAATGTCCCGGAACCGCGAGCTCCCATAGGTGATTTGCTACCTATCAACACGGGCCCTTTCGTCCCGGATGAACTGGTTGGAGCGCTGCGCCGGCTACGTCGTGGCAAGGCTCCGGGGCCCGATGGTATTCCGCCGGACTTTTGGAAAACTTTGGGATCAGATCCAGATGCCTCTGCTATAATGCTTCGCCTGGGCCAGACATGCTGGGAACGCAAAGCAATTCCCGAGTCTTGGAGGCGCGCGAACGTGGTTCTTCTGTTCAAGAAAGGAAATATCAAATTGCCAGAGAACGACAGACCCATATCTTTACTCCAAATTGGGTATAAGCTCCTAGCCTCCATGATCCATCAACGTCTAATTCAAGGTGGCGCTGAGTCCCGAATGTGCGGATCACAATTTGGGTTCCGCCCTGGGCGCGGGACGGCAGACGCGCTCATGCTCGTCCGGCGCATGATTGACGCGGCTCACAACAACAAGCACGGCGGCCTCATTTAGTTAATGTTGGATTGGGCTCAAGCGTTCGACAGATTCAAACCTACAAGGATGTGCGACGCTTTACGACGATTTGGGCTTTCCTCGGACATCGTGGCCATGGCCGAAGCTATCTACGCTGAGCGCTACTTCGCGATTGTGGACCACACGGGGAAATCCAAAGAAAGACGGCAAATGGCAGGAATGGCGCAAGGATGCCCACTTTCCCCATACTTATTTATTGCAGTACAGACCGTTATGTTGCACGATGCTTTTGGGCCCATCAACTTCGAAGCCGAACCCGCCTATGTAGTGTCGCGGGACATTCTATATGCATATGACACACTACTGTTGTCGCAGAGCAAGACAAACGTCCAGAGCATGCTGAACGCCATTGTTGGAGAAGGCTGTAAATACGGACTCGAGCTTAACTGGGACAAGACATTGCAAATGCAGATCTCAACCAACGTCGTCGTTGTTCGGCCTGATGGTGGTCCTATCAAAGCTGTCCGGGAAGCCGTTTACTTGGGCGGGATGCTTTCTTGTGACGGTTAGGCCACCACCGAACTCAACCGCCGATTGGGGGAAGCATATGGCATATTCAACAAGCTTGCTAAGATTTGTTCGCGCACCGCTGTTGGATGGAAACAGAAGTTCAAAGTGTATGACAGTGTGGTGGTAAATAAGCTATTGTACTCGCTTGATTCCCTGTGGTTATTGAAGGCTGACAAGTCGAGGCTCGACGCGTTCCACTTCCACTGCCTCCGCCGAATCCTGGGCATTCCGCATTCTTTCTTCTCGCGAATAAGTAATTCGAGCGTGTTAGAAAAGGCGGGCGCCAAACCGCTATCTCAGCTTCTACTTGACAAACAACGCAAACTATACATCCGTGTCGCTTCCAGTGCACCTTCGTCCTTGGTGCGTCAATGTTTATGTAATCTGGACGGTATCCCACGCAACTGGGTGGAACACCGGCGGCGCGGCCGGCCCAGACAGCAGTGGGCTTCCCAAGTGTACGAGATGACGCAGCACATCTGAGGCCTCACCTCCCCCGTCCTTGTCTTCCTCCCCTCGCCTTGTTTTTTCCCTTCTCCCTCTACGTGTACCTCGGAGTAGTATTGTGTTCCATATTCTGCTTCACAGTCGCGTTGCGCTCCGCTGCCTGCTTCACAGTCGTGGGGCGCTCAGCGTTCTCGCTCTCTGTTGCAGTTCTTCTGAAGAGTCGCCAATTGCGCGCTCTTCCGCCCACGCGTCCTACCGGATGCACGGCTTAGTGGTGGAGGAAGAGGGAGCATCTGGCAAGAGGAGGAGGCAGGATCTGGAGAGCTGATGATGAAGAGGGAGGAGGAGGACGCAGGCTGATAATGACGATGATGAGGTGGAAGAATGAGACCATGCAGGGGCAACACAAGACAAGACATCGTAATGACGCTCCGAAGCATTCATCTCGTGGAGTCGAAAGCGTTATGCGCGCTGCTTCGCCAGCCAGCCTTCGCTGGCAGACGCAGGCGGCCTGCCGGCAAACACCCACGCGGCCCCACACTGCTGGGCGGGGGGCGGCCTGGGAGGCGCCCAGCCTCGAGGACCCGCGTGAATCTCCGCACCCTCTCGGACAAGCCTCCTTGGGTGAACAGCAGACCCGTCGTCCAGAGGAGGAGGCGGGGGGGAGGCAAAAGAGGCGGGAGGGGAGGGTCCAACGGCTGTCGGAGGTGGGGGGGCCGCCAGGCGTCGGGGCCTAGCCTGCAATCGCCCCGGCTGGCCGCCAGGGCCGCGTTCACGCGTCGCCGTTGCCGCCGAAGGCGAAGGCGAAGGCGCAGTCGCAGTCTTCGTCGAAGTCAGAGCCGTCGCCGCCTTCGAAGCCGCCCTCTCCGTCGAAACCGCCTAGAATACTCGTCATCGTCGTCGTCGTCGGAGGGCGAGGAGGAGGAGAGGAGGAGGAGGAGGAAGAGGAGAAGATAGAAGAGAAACAGCTTGAAGGATGAGGAGGATGAGGAGGAGGAGGAGGATGGGGGTCAGGATGACGAGGAGGAGGAGGCGAAGGGTGAGGAGGAGCGGGGGTAGGGTGAGGAAGATGGAGAGGGAGGAGGGCAGACGGGTGATGTCGGTTTAAAGCCTCAAGTGCCTGCCGCCGTGAGGGAGGACGCGAACTGCTCGAGACGGGAAATCGTGGTATAGCATTCCCTTTGTCCTGACGGTTCCTTCTTCCTGGGGTGGGAAGCGGACCGGGGATCGGTGTTGACAGTGGAGGTGTGTGGTGGGAACCAGGGCTGGACCTAAACGGTGTTTGCGGCGATTTCGTGGGGCGTTTTCGTTTTGACTTCGTTTTGCGGTAAAGGCGGATTCGAGACAAAAGCGAGGGAAAACGAAAACAACACGAACACGAAAAACACCGTTTAGGTTCAGCCCTGGTGGGAACCATGCGCGTCCGAAGTCGCAAATGGTTTTCTAGTGGATGCGCGACCGACCGTTGAATTGCAACACACAGCTCGATGAAGCAGTTGATGCAGACTGGGCCCATTAAGAAATGAGGTCTGGAGTTTGGTCTTCTCATTGTTTGTGCACCAACGGCAGGTCCCTCATCTGCCCCTTTTGCTCCTAACTCTCCTCCCTTCAGCTTCGCCTCCCTCTCCTCCTTCGTGCTATTTCTCATCATGTTTTGTGCGTGCGGTGCGACTCAGGGCATGAAACATATTCTCCTGTGGTTTCTCCTCCTCGTCCTCCTCGTCGTCCTCCTTCTCCTCCTCGTCCTCGTCGTAGTCGTCGTCCTCCTCCTCCTCCTCCTCCTCCTCCTCCTCCTCTTCCTCCTTCGTATCTCTTGTCCCTCGTCATCCACGCCATTATCCTGTAATGTTCTGCTCCACCTCATCCTGATGAAGCTCATTCCCCTCCCCTCTCCCGCGTTATGCCGCTGCTGCGCCGCCTCCTTCTCCTCCCTCCCTCCCAGCTCCCGCCCCCCGCCGCCCGGGAGCGAGAGAGGCACCCGCGGGCCTGCTCCGCCCATGGCCTCGCCGCTCATGCCGACGGGTTATGGATGGTAGCAGTGGGACAAAAGGAGGTGGAGGATGAGGAGGAGGAGGAGGAGGAGGAGGAGGAGGAGGAGGAGGAGGAGGAGGAGGAGAAGGAGAAGGAAGGGGGAGGCGGAGGGCGGAGCGGAGGAGAAGGAGAAGGAGAGGAGGAGAGGAGAGAGGAGGGAGGGAGGAGGAGGAAGGGTAGGATGAGGAGAGACGGAGAGGCGGAGCGAGGCGAGGAGGAGGAGGAGGGAGAGGAGGAATGAGGAGGAGGAGGAGGAGGGAAGGGGAGGAGGAGGAGGAGGAGGAGGAGGAGGAGGGAGGAGGAGGAGGAGGGAGGAGAGGGGAGGAGGAGGAGGGAGGAGAGTAGGAGGAGGAGGAGGGAGGCGGAGGCGAGGCGGAGGCGGAGTATAGGAGGATGAGGAGGAGGAGGTAGGAGGCGGGAGCGGAGGCGGAGGCGGAGGCGAGGCGGAGGTTCCAGGCGGAGGTGAGGCGGAGGCGGCGGAGGCGGAGGCGAGGCTGAGGGGCGGAGGAGGAGGAGGAGGAGAGGAGGGGAGAGGAGGAGGAGGAGGAGCAGGGAGGAGGAGGAGAGGGGAGGAGGAGGAAGGAGAGGAAGAGGAAAGGAGGGGGGGGCGGAGGCGGAGGTGGAGGCGGAGGAGGAGGCGGCGGAGGAGGAGGATGAGGAAGAGAAGAAGGAGGAGGAGGAGGAGAAAGAGGAGGAGGAGGAGGAGGAGGAGGAGGAGGAGGAAGCGAAGGATGATCATGATGATGAGGAGAAAGAGGATCAGGAGGAGGAGGAGGAGGAGGAGGAGGAGGAGGAGGGTTCACCACCTCACTCGCTGAGTGGCAGCAGCACGTGAGTGGTCGAGGCTGGATCGAGCCAGGTTTGCCGTCCGCGGCGCAGCGCACGGGCTATGCGCGGGGCGCTGGCCCACTCACGTGCTGCTGCCACTCGGCGAGTGATGCGGTGTAGGGGAACAAGCAATGGTATACAATGCGGCATAAAGATACAAGCTCGGAGGTCCACGCGGATTTCTCGGATCGGCGATGACCCAGCCTCGTCCCTCGCTTCTAGCGCCCTCTCTTGCCTGCCGATCGGCCCAGGCCAGTCCGGCACCCTCTGGCGGCTGGACGAGGAGTCTGGTCGATGGGAGGCCTTTGCCGCGGCCGCGAGTTGGGAGAGAGGGAAGGAGGGAGGGAGTGAGGGAGGGAGGGAGGGAGGGAGGGGAGGGAGGAGAAGGGGGAGGAGGAGGAGGGGGAGGGGAGGAGCATTCGCTACCGAACCGCTACGCTATCGATCAACAAATGGGCGTATTCGCTTGAGGCTCAGAGGGAGAATTGCCGCCAGCTGTCACCCTGAGGCCGTCCCTGGCCTGACAGCAGCACTGCGGTTCGTAAGGCTTTCCCTGTGCTCGGGCGCCTCCCCTCCAAAAGCTTACCAAGCACCCCGCCCACTCGAGCGCTCCCTCTGGGGCATCGGGACAGGAGGCCTGACCATCGAGCGCTGGCGCATCGTGCTTCGCGACGGGGAAGCACGAGGCGTGCACCAAACATCAGTCTCCGCTGCGCCCCGCGGGCTCTTCTCGACCTGCCCCCTGCCCCCGCCTACGACAGGAAGGTACCGGACCCTCCACCGAGGCTTTCTCCGGGACCAGTTATGCATCCCGAGTCGTGCCCCGATGGTCCTGGGGCCCATTTCCAGGATGTCTGCGATGGTGCAGGCCTGGCCGGTGGCAACACCTGCATAGCTCTACCTCTCACCTCACTGTGCGCTGTCCTTAAGGCGCACGCGTCTCTCGGGGGTATCCCGACTCATAGTGCGGGCGCTGTCCCCCAGGGGGTGGGCATGTGCGGATAGGCTCACAGGTACGATCATCCCTCTCTCACAGGACCCTTGTCCTCCATGGACCAACCACGTCCTCCATGCTGTAGCAAGGGAGGTGGGTAGGACGAAGAAGGGGGTGGGGAGAAGAAACGACTAGAACCACTTGCGCCCAGAGGGCTGCGTGGGTTTTGCGGCAAGCTTGGAGAGCTCCGGTGCGAGAAGGAACTGAGAGGGCGAGGAAGAGCAGCAGCAGGGGCCAAGGCATGGATCATCACGTGGTTTTGGGCGGAGTTCGTCCACCCTGCTGGCCGATGTCACTCTGTTGTGAGTGGCCTGCTTGCTGACGGGGAAGATAATCCGCCAGTCTTCCTGGAGGGCACCTGTACTGAGAGATAGCAGAGGAGGACGATCGCGGGTGCTTGTCCGCACAAAGCTCTTCTGGGTTCGATCGCCTGGGCGCTTGAAGCCCTCTCCGCACTGCCCTGCGAGAGGCACGAACATAATTCGATTCACCGTGCTTGCCACGTCTGCTACATGCAGGGATCAAATTGGCATCGAACGGCCTGCGAAACGTGCAGATGGTGGCCCTGCGGGAAGTCAAACAGGGTCGGGAGCATTGTGTGATTTCCTGGGCAGGCCTCGTCATCCTTTGGATGCCAGAACTTGGCAGTGCACCTGGTCTTGCAGGTTGCACAGTTACGTTTCCCGTTCGCCCCCCCCCCCACACCCAAGAAGGGGCCAAGGCATGGAGGCGCGGGTCTGAACACGTGGTGCAGCACGAGGTGTCCCCTCTATGTAAGCCGGGGCCTCTGTCTTCCACGGGGGCGGGGCTGAAACCGAGGGACCCTCAAATTGATCAGGTCTCCTGACAAAGGGCGCTCATGGAAGCTGTTCGTCAGCGTCCCCCCTCGAGGGGGGTCAGTGCTTCTGCACCAGCGGTTGCGAGTGGTAGACAGCCGCCCGGACGCCTCAGGCGCGGTTGATGCATTTTCGTTCGCGCTTCCTTCTGCAAGGACTCGAGCGTGCCCTTTTCGGGGAAGGTGGCAGTTGACATTGGAGGGGCTCGAAGCGTCGACCTCGAAAGTCTGCTTTGCTGCCCCCTTATGGAAGGGTCCTTCTCATCGTCGTCCTCGGCTCCCTTCACCATGATCCTCATGATCCTCCTTCTCCTTTTCTGACCATTCGCTGGGCTCGCTTGAATGGTAGCTCTTCTGTGCATGTTTGAATACGGTCGACGTGGCGCTTGGAATCGCACAGCCCAGAATTCCTGCACACATTCTCACAACGAGGAGGTGGAATAGTTAACGGTCCGCGACATTAAACATTGATGATAATGGTGATGGTGGTGGTGGTGGTTCTGCTGCTGAGGAGGAGGAGGAGGAGGAGAAGGAGGAGGAGGAGGAAGAGGAGGAAACGGAGGAGGACGAGGATGAAATGGAGGAGGAGGAGGAGAAAGAAGAGGAGGAGGAGGAGGAGGAGGACGAGGAGGAGGGAAGACGAAGATAACTGACAACAGGACGATACTTGTCATATTCACGAGGCGGAAAATGGAGCAGTATTCGCCAGTGTCGGCAGGAAAAGAAGAAGGCAGAAGACATGAGGATGAGGAGGAGGAGAGGAGGAGGAGGAGGAGGAGGAGGAGGAGGAGGAGGAGGAGGAGGAGGAGCAGGAGCAGGAGGATGAGGAGAAGGAGGAGGAGGTTGAGGAGGAACAGGGGGAGGAGGGGGAGGAGGAGGAGGAGGAAGAGGAGGAGGAGAAGGAGGAGGAGGAGGATGAGGAGCAGCCACGTACCGCCATGCGGTTGAGGCGTGTCATTGACAGTGCGCCGGTTGTTCGGCCATGCTGAACTGAGATCTCGTCATCCCTCACCATGTCACCCTTTCGTTCATATACCTGTATATTCAATTTCCAGCTTCTCGCCCTTACACATGTACCTTTTGATGTTCCTCAGGTATCAGAATCCGTTTAGTGATAGTACCACTTGCAGGGCCACTGGGCCACGACGGAAAAGTACCTCAACTCCAGCACCTGCATATTGCGCAGCACGATCGCTACATGCACGGCCACCACGGCCACGACGTCAGCAGCCAACACAGCTTAGCATCGTCGAGAATGTGAGCAACAAGCAGCAGCACGTTCACTGCTACGGGTCGCATCAGCGCGCGACCTGTCCGAGCAGCACGCGCAGCACCAGCTCGACTCAGCTCGGCAACTGCTCCAGGCGCACCACAGCGCACAACCACCACCACGACACTTACCTCAAGCTCCCACAATGGCAGCACCATGGGGATCAACCGTGAGTGGCTCGGGAATTCCGCAACCACCCTCCAGGCCAGGCGCTCAAATCAGAGTACCGACGCCAGGCCCCACTTCACCGGCGATTGGAGCAGACCTCGGGCGCTAGAAGAACAACAAGTGGGCGGAGCAGTGGGCCAATGACCACCTTGACCCCTGTTGGAGTAATTGCTACAACGGCAAGGGCAAGAACAGCATAACCTTCGACGACGATATCGAGCCCGACAATCGCAACCAAGAATGGGAATCTCGTTGGACACCTCGTTGGACTGCATCATCTCACCCTTGCGCACTCCTCATTATTCGCTAGAAGGATGCAGGTCAGTCCCCTTTCAAAGCGAGGCTCTCGCCTGAATGGCAAACCCATGGGGTGTTGGTCCTTCAAGCAGGCGCCTGTTGAAGTCAGCATCATGGGTTGGAGGGACTTTACCAGGACGACACCTGGGACAGGACGGATTGCTGCAGCATCGCTGATGCACCTTTGGTTTACTCTGGTCCACCTCCTCCGCCTCCTCCTCCTCCTCCTCCGCCTCCTCCGCCTCCTCCGCCTCCTCCGCCTCCTCCGCCTCCTCCGCCTCCTCTGCCTCCTCCGCCTCCTCTTCCTTCTCCTCCTCCTGCTCCTCCTCCTCCTCCTCCTCCTCACTCCTCACTCCTCTCTCCTGATCTCCCCACGGCAGGTGAAGCTGCAGAACGGGGACATGAAGTCCATCCGCCCGGAAAACCTGTGCTTCCAGGCTCGGCCCCGGCCGGGCCTGTGAGCACTCACCCAGTGGACCTGCTCCTCCTCTCCTCCCCTTCCTCCTCCACCTCCTCCTCCTCTCCTCCTCCTCCCCTCCTCCTCCTCCTCCTCCTCCTCCCCCCCTCCTCCCTCCTCCCTCCCCCCCCTCCTCCTCCTCCCCCTCCCCTCCTCCTCCTCCTCTCCTCCCCTTCCTCCTCCTCCTCTCTCCTCCTCCTCCTCCCTCCTCCTCCTCTTCCCCCAGGGGACCTCCTCCTCCTCCTCCTCCTCCTCCTCCTCCTCCTTCTCCTCATTTGACTCCTTCTACTCAGTCCCAGACGCAGAGTGGGCCGTGGTACTTCTGCTGCCGAGCGCCCTCCTGCGCGCGAGAGGCCAGGGAAGCTCTGCGAGCGAGCGCGCGTGTGTGTGCAGGTTGCGGAGCGGGTGCCGACTGCGGCCGCTGGGCCCAGGAGCGGGCTGCCGCATCGGGGTGCCCGGGTGCCCGCTGGGCGTGCGACCTTCTCCGCGCAGCCCGTGGCCGAGCAGCCGAGCCCGCTCCTCTCGAGCTCGCGCGAGTGCGTCTGCACGCAGCGCCGACGCGCCAAGCCACAAAGGGAAAACGCAGCGCCGACGCGCCCCTCGCTCTTCGCCTCCCCTCTTGGCGGAGGCGCGGCCGGCGCGCCCGCTGCTGCGCTGAGGATGCCGGGCGTGGCGGCGCGGGCGTGGCGGCAGCTCGCGGGTTCCGAAGGCGCAGGGCACGCGAGCTCGCCCCGCCCGCGCTGCAACCGGCGAGGGCGCGGCCCCGGCCAGGCTGTGCAGCAGCGGGGTGCCGCAGCGCGCCGCGGTGGGGCCGCGCGGGGTCTGCCCCGAGCGGCAGGAGGTCCGGAGGTCGTGCGAGTTTGTGTGCCTCGGCATGCTGGCGCGAACAGGGCCGAGTCGGCAAGGGGCAGGAGAGAGGATGAGGCGGGGGAGGAGGAGGAGGAGGAGGAGGAGGAGGAGGAGGAGGAGGAGGAGGAAGAGGAGGAGGAGGATGGGTGATCTCGGCAGCCTGGGCCTCCCCCCCCGCCTCCCCGTGACGTTTCCTCTGGCTCCCAAGCCAGCCGCCTCCTCCTCCGAGCCCCCCCTCCGCTCTTATGCGGCCTCCCTTTCTACTATCGTCGTCGTCGTCGTCGGTCGGCGGCGGCGGCGTCGCCGTTGTCCTCCTCTCCCTGCGCACAGCATCGGGCGACCGTCTTACCTTCACCCTTCTGGGGACAAGATCAGTTAGCTGCATGACATGAGGCGCGCGATGGTGCGGAGGAGCACGTAGAGGTAGGGCGATATGGGGATATACGTATCTACTGTCGAGACGCCGAACCAAGGAACAGTTCGGGTTGGGAAGCGGCTCGCTATGTGGGGGTGTTCGTGAAGGAATGTGCCCATGAGGCGTCAGACCTTGGATTGCTTCTTTAATGATTGGGGCGGTGCTGATACCCATGGCCAAGCCTCAGCTGATGTTCCACTGGCTTCCGGACCCTGGATTCGCAATAGTTCACAGCCGACGCCATAACCGTAGTCCTCACGGTCTGGGACTTTGACTTGGCGTGTCTGACCCACCATGCTGCGGCGCGACACGCGACCCATGTCCCAGCCCCCAGGTGTCAGCGTTGCGAGTCTTTCCCGGCGTTTCGCCCCGCGGAGCGGTGCGACACGCTATCCGCTTGCAGGGCACAGCGTGTCGCCAGGGCCGCCGCCGCTACACGCTGAGCAGAAGATCCCGACCGTAGGTACTTCCATGGTTGGTCTCCTGGCGCCCTGCTTCCCCCGCTGCTGCTGGCCGTGGCCCTCTCCCACTGCCCCCCTCCTCCTCTTCTTCCCTCCTCTTCCTCCTTCTCCTCCTCCTCCTCCCTTCTCCTCATCATCCTCCTTCTCCTCCTCCTCCTCCTCCTCCTCCTCCTCTTCCCTCTTCCTCCCTCCTCCCTCCTCCTCTTCATCCCTCCTGTGAAAGGTGGGAGCCAGAGTGCTCCGCCTCTCTGCAACCAGGGCGCCATGTCCGTAGGACCGGCTCCAGGGCGGCCCCGGGGGGCGGAAGCGAGAGCATGGAGGCTGCGCTGGCTGCTCTCCTCGCAGCGTTCCCCCACGGGCGAGGACTGGGGCCCACGGGCGATGACGAGGCAGATGCTCTTCTAGGGAGCCGGTGGGCAGCGTTGAGGCAGGAGGGGCTTACACTGGTATCGCAGGCTGCGAGGCTGGGTGGCGCCCTTCCGGGCACCCAGGAAGTGCAGCGCATCCGCTCGGCGCTGAGGTGGGCGTTGCGAGACGGTGTCCTCCCTGCGCCTCCCCCAGCCCATGTTGCGCAGCTGGTCAAAGCAACCCCCAGGGCCTTCCAAGTCTCGGTGGGGGTGGGGTTACCAAGTACGCTGGGCTGCACTAGCGTGGACGGCAGGACAGGCAGGTGGCACCTCTTCACGGACAGGGAGGTAGGGATTGCGGCAGCCTTCGACCATCTCCAAGTGGCTCTCGTCGGGCTCCCTGGGGCCCGTTTTGCTCGGGGCATCTCAGTCCCGCAGCTGCCGGGGATGGGCATCATAGCGAGAGGGGGGCCCTCATACGCCTCCGCAACTGTGGCTTGGGACAAGAAGCAGCTCCCCGAGCTCAGGGAGGTAGCAGCTGTGGGCTCAGACAGGCGGCTCTGGGTAACACATCGCGATGCCGGTGGAATCGCTTGGTTCATATGCGTCCTCTACCTCCCCCCAGTGCCCAAGTCGGGCAGCGATGTAGAGTGGCACGCGGAGATGGAAGGGCTCCGAGCCGACGTGCAGGAGATAAGCGGAGCGACCCCAGGGGCGCCCCTCACGGCCCCGATTCTAATCATGGGCGACATCAGTATGCAGCCGGCAGTCTTGGGCGGTGACAGGGAGGCAGCAAGAGCAAGGGACCTCTCTTGGGCTGGGCTCTTGGATGATTGGGGTCTTGTACACCTCAACCCGCACGTGGGTCAGGGTCCGCGGACAGAGATCTGGCTGCCGCGCCGCCGCAAGGCAGTCCACCTCCGGCCGGGAGACACCCATCATGGAGGCACTCCGAGGTGCATTGATGTGGTTGTGGCGTCCCGCCCAGCGGTGGGCCTAGCGGTGGTGCACAACGGGTTGCACTGCGCCTCCGAGGAGCCGTGCCGGTGGCCGGAGTGCGTCGATTACACGCTCGGCGACCACTTCTTCATCGAAGCGCAGGTCCCGCTTGTGGTGCGCCTGGGCCGGGGTGTGGGGGGCGCACTGAGGATGCCTCGGTGGTGGCTGGATGAGCCCGGCTGGGCAGCGGGGCTTGCGGCCTCCGCGGACGCACTAAGGTGTCTCGAGGGCATCCTGCGGGCGATCTGCGCGGGGCAAGGCCGAGGGCCGTACGGTGATAGGCTGTGTAGGGGGTCAGCGCAGTGGCTCTGCGATGCTCTTGCGTGGCTCCTCCATGTCCTGCTGGCCCTCGTCCTGTCGGGATGGATGGTCCCTGCGGACGCCGGCGCCCGCCGCCGAAGGAAGCGCGCCGGGGGCCTGGCGGGACAGCGCCCGCTGGGCAGTCGGATTCGGGCAGCTCTGGAGGAGGGCGGCGTTCCCGCGGTCCAGGTGGCGCGCTGCCTTCGCGTCCTGGCGCCCCCTGCGGTCCAGCCGGCGCCGTGCCTGAGGGCAAGGGACGCGGCGCTCTCCCCGGCGGATTCGTTGGTGGCCTGGTGCGCACAGATCCGCGAACAATCTCGGTGGCCGGGCGGGTGGGACGCAGGGAGGCATGCCTTCGTCCAGGCCTCGGTGCGCACCCTGGCGGGGAGGGCCTGGGCGCGTCGAGGGCGCGGAGAACTGGACGGGCCCATCGTCCAGAGCGAGGTAAAGCAGGTGCTCGCGGGGTGGTCTTCCACGGACGCGACGACGCCCGACCTGGTGCCCCGCCTGATCCTCCAGATGGCATGCGCCCCGCTTGACACGGTGGTTTGTCTTCTGATGCTCGTGGCGGGCCCCAGCTTCCTGGCCTCCCGGCCGAGGGGGTGGCGGAGCCTTTGCGCCGTGCCCCTCCGCAAAGCGGGACCCCCCGAGCTCGGGGAGAGCCTTCGCCTGATTATGGTCAAGACGCAATTCGGCCTGCTCCAGGAGGCCATCCTGTGCCTGAGGGTGAGGGCGAAGGTGTTTTCTTCGGTCCTCCCCGGCCAGAGCGGCTACGTCCGCGATGTTGGGGACGCCCATCTGCTACTGCACGAGCTGGTGGCCCAGGCAGTGGAGCAGGGGAGGGCCCTGTGGGCAGTGTCGGGTGACCTCCAGAAGGCTTTCCCGCGTGTCTGGAGAGAGGGGCTGCTGTACCGCGTGGGTGCCCATGCCGGGCTCCGCGACGGGTGCTTCGCCCTCCTCTGCAGTGTCCTCGAGGAGGATCTGGTCCACGTTAACATCAACGGCGTGGCCATCGTCAGCATGCGGCAGGGCCTTGCGGGGGGGGGCACCGTGGGTCCAGTGTTCTTTCCGTCCTACATGGGCGGCCTGCCGAGGGCGCTCTGCGACGCGGGGCTGGGGGTGGGCATCGGGGCGCGGATGCTGAGAGCTTGGCGGGGCAGAGTGTGGCAGTGCACGGGTCTGCCCAGGGATGGCATGGTCCACTCCCTCCAGCGTGCCATCAGCGAAGGGCGGGGCCTTCCGTCTGATGCGGAACTCGCGGCGGACCTGGACCTCGAGGCCTCCGCCCTCCTGGCAATGGGACAGGGCCGCGCCGGCGCGGCATGCTGCCATCCTGCATGCGGGCGACCCCGTCCTGCTGGGCTCGTCGCGGGGCTCCGGCGGCGGTGGAAGTCCTGGCCCGATGGGCATGCGCAGAGAAAGCCAGCCCCCATACGAAGGCTTCCAAGCATGCAGTCCTCGTGTCTGGAGCGCCTCCAGCCCGCGCGGCTGCGCAGGCCGCGCGGCCACTGGAGCTCCGCCTGCGGGGGAGGGGGCCCGTGCAGCTGGGGGTCGTGCAGGTGCGCAAGTGGCTGGGCCTCCCGTGGCGGGGCGGCCTGGACCTGCGTGCGATGTGCAGCATGCGCCTGGCTGCGGCGTCTGCCCAGGTTGCTTCCCTGGCCGGCCAGGTGGCCAGTGGCGATGTTCCCCTGGCTGTGGCGGCCAGCATCTTTGACATGAAGATAGAGGGGGGCCTCCGCTTCGGGCGGTGGTTGTGGTGCGTCGCGGAGGGGTGCGCGGTGGCGCAGGACGAGGCATGCAGCAGCCGGGCCCGGGTCCTCCTTGGGGCCCCGCCGTGGCGTTCGTCGTCGGCAGCAGAGGCGGAGCTGGGGTGGGCCCTTTTTGGCGCGGGGCGAGGGGTGGTAGATGTGGCTCGGCGGCGCTCCGGGCTGTGGGCCCTTCCCGAGGACGACCTTTACCGTTCGGTCTTCCAGGCGGCCCACGCGTCCCAGGGAATGTCCTGGGCGAGCCAGTCTGCCAGGCTGCTAGTGGCTTGGGGCGTGTCGGATTGGCCCGCCTGGTCACAGGCCCGCCCGGGGGAGTCGCGGGGCGCGTGCCTCGAGGCCGTCCAGCAGCAGGTGGCGCGCGTGTGCCAGGGGGAGTGGCAGGCCAGGGCGAGTGCCCATGACCGCCTAGTTCCCCTGCTCTCCCTGTGCGAGGGGCTGGTGAGGGACCTCGCGGCCGCCCTCAGGGGCGGGTACCCATGGGAGGTGCTGCAGGGCATGAGGTCCCTGAGCCGCTGGAGGGCAGGCCTCTTCGTCCTCGGCCACGTGGGGGGCCGCAGGTCCTGGGCAGCGGTGCAGTCCTGCGTCCTCTGCGGCTCGCGCCAGCGCAGCCTCTCCTTCCATGCGTGCGGCGGATGCCCGGGGACGGCGGAGGGCCGGGCGGCCTTCTGGGTGGCGCGGGCGCAGCCGCAGCCGGCGTCCCAGGAGGCCTGCACACGGGCAGTGCTGTCAGCCAGGCCTGGAGAAGCGGGGTACCCCGAGGCGGTCCTGCTCGCCGCAAGCGTCGACAAGCATCAGCTGAGTTTCTGGGCCGGGCGGGCCAAGGGCATGTGCCTGCAGCTGCTCCTGCTGTCCGTGCGTTCTCGGCTTCGCACCGAAAAGTCCTTCCTTCCGCCGCCTGGGTGCCTCGGGACCGGGGTGTGGTGGTGTCCGGGAGTGCCCCGGGTCCTGCTGGGTTTCCTGGGGCTGGGGGTCTGCTCCTTGCGGCTGGCTCCTGTCGCCGCGCGGGATTTGCTTCGAGAACCTGGCCCCCCCTGCCTCGGCGTCGGCCCGGGGCCTCCCGGGGGGTGGAAGGTGAGGGGGGTGGGAAGTGGGGGCGGGCACCTCTCTCTCCCCCCCCGTCCCTCCCCGCAGGCAGGGCCGAGTCCCGCAGCCGAGCTGGGGCGGGGGCGGGGGTACCGCACTCCGGGGAGGGCCTCCTCCGGTCTTCTCCGAACGCCTCGCAGCTGCGCCCTGCGGTGGCCCCGGGGTTGGCTCAGACGGGCGGGGCCCCAGCGGAGGTGAGCGGGCGCTCTCACGCTGCTCATCCCCCCTCCGCGTTTCTCGTTGCTCTCCCGGCACGGAAGACCACTGGGGCCCCGCTGGAGGGATCGCTTTGTTCCCCCCGTCCCAGGTCGGGGCCGCAGCCGTAGCTCTCTCCTGGGGTTCCCGCCCCCAGGTACGGGAGATAGGTATTGCTGGCCGTCCTGGGGTCGTGGTGGGAACAGGCGGTTCCCCCAAGGGGAATCCTCCCCCCGGTGGTCTCTCGGACCGAGAGGCACAGCGACGCTGAGGTACTAGGCCCCCGCGACGGGTGGTGAGCTGTCCCCCAGCCATCCCTGGGCGGGAGGTGCCGCTAAAGGGGCTGTGCCCGCGGCCCCACCAGATGCTTAATTACCCAAGCCACCACCACCACCACCCTCCTCCCTCCTCCTCCCTCCTCCTCCTCCTCCTCCTCCTCTTCCTCCTCCTCCTCCTCCTCCTCCTCCTCCTCCTCCTTCTCCTCCTCCTCCTCCTCCTCCTCCTCCTCCTCCTCTCTCCTGCCCCTTGCCGACGAGGGCGACGGCGGCGCTGTCCTTCGAGCGGCAGCGCCGCTGGCCCAGCCGAAGGCCCCCGCGCCCGCCTCCGTCGCCCACCCCCTGGCCCCGCCGGCGGAAAAGTTTAGATCGGGAGCGTTTATCTTAATGCAGCTGGGCCAATATCATTTTTTTTGGGTTGATATTAACACGGTTTTATGTTTGTATAGACTTTTCGGGGGTCTCCCGCGCGAGACATTTTGCTTCGGAAAAGTGTAGATTTATTTCTTATGGACTATATATATATATAACGCCTGGCGCCCAAACCTGGTTTTTGGGGTGGATCTAGACTTTTCGATGCGCGCCCGTGCGGGGCGGGCCCCAGCCGCCGCGTGGGGCTCTTGCCAGCGCCGCCAAGGGCCTCTCGCTAGAAGTTCAGCCCGGGTCTCCTTCTCGCGAGGCCGGGTGCGACAAGGACAGCACTGCTCGCGACGCCCGGGCTGGAGGCCGACGTTGCTTGGTCCTTCGGCACCGCGCCAATTTTGGATGAGGACAGGAGCCATGGCGCCCATCGGCTCTTGCGGGCACGCCGAGGTGGTGTCTGGCAGGGGCAAGAGCAAGGACAACAGCAAAAGCAAGAGCGAGCCCATGCCCGAGACCGACGCCGACCTGTTCAACGAGAGGAGGAAAACACGCAGGGCAGGAAAAAAGGTCAATCGCCGGCGCGCCAGCGCGGCCCTCCGCGCGGCTGCCGCCAGCGTGCCAGGCCAGCCCTCGCCCGAGGGCAGTGCCGGGGCCGAGGAGGCGGAGCGAGGAGGTGGCCTTCGGTCGTGGACGGAACGGCTCCCGCAACTCGTGACTGCGGTGGGTCCCAAGGCGATCGTGCCAGGAAGGGCGCGCATCCTTGGAGGTCTAACCTCAGGAAGGCATTAAGAACCCCCCCTTTTCCGGTGGATTATAACGCCCCCGCACCCTGGAGCGTTATGGCCGCACCGGAAGACCTGGCTGAGGGGACTCGGGGCCTAGCTAAGGCCTGCCAAGCGCAGATTTGCTCTTGCCAAGCAGTTTAGCAGGGCCAAGCAGGGCTTAGCAAGGCTTAGCAGGGCCAAGCAGGCCATGTCGGGCTGTTTGGAATTTTCGCGTCGTGTGGGTGCTAAGATAACGCGGGGGTGCGTGGAGGGGCGATACCCTGGGCTGGACCTCCCCTTAGGAAGGCCGAGGATATTCTATTTCTCTAAGGGGGGATAAAAGGAATCGCAAAGGACGACGAACGACGGACGACGAACGACGAACGACACCCACTGAGCGTAACTGGCTTAGCAGGGCTTGGCAGAGCTTAGCAGGGCTGATCAGAGCTTGGCAGGGTTCAACAGGGCTTAGCAGGGCCTAGCAGGGCCTAGCAGGGCCTAGCAGTGCGTGCTTATCAGGGTTTCGCAGGGCTGAGCAAGGCTTAGCAAGGCTTAGCTGGGCGTAGCAGGGCTTAGCAGTGCTTGGCAGAGTTTAGCAAGGCTTTGCAAGACGTGCCAGGGATAAAGGTGCACAAAGATCTGGGCTAGATCCTTGACAGTCGTCACGACACCCTCTCTTGGCGTTAGTGGGGCGGCCGCCGATGGTGGATTTTGTTTTCTGTGTGCGGCGGGTGCTAAGTGTATCATTCGGCTAAAACTGCCCGCCTGGAGTATTGAGAACACCGGGTGCTAAGAATAACCCAGGGGGGTTTCTTAATGCCTTCCTGAGGTTACCTCCATCCATCAAATTCTTCTATCTACCAGGTCAAGGCGTCTACGCACCGCCACTTCGCCCTTCGCGTGACCCGGGGGCTACCGTTGTGCTGGCGTCTTGGGACGGGCTTTCAGACATCACGTCTGCGGCCCGAGGTCGTCAAATTATCCCGGCAAAGCAACCTAACAGCGATGTGTAGGAGCATATCTGGAAGCATTCCCCTTAAGATTCAGATGAGAATCCAGCTGTCGAATTCTGCTGTTCTCGCAGTCGTAGTCGCATTCGCGATGACAGTCGCAGTGGCAACGGCAGTTGCAGTCACAGCCTCAGCCTCAGCCTGCGTCAGCCTCAGCCTGCCTCAGCCTCAGCCTCAGCCTGCTTCAGCCTCAGCATCAGTCTGCCTTCAGCCTCGGCCTCAGCCTCAGCCTGCCTGAGCCTCACCGTGCATCAGCCTCAGCCTCAGCCTCAGCCTGCCTCAGCATAAGCCTGCCTCTGCCTCAGCATCAGCCTGCCTCTGCCTCAGCCTCAGCCTGCTTCATCCTCAGCCTCTGTCTGCCGTCGGCTTCGGCCTCAGCCTCAGGCTGCCTCAGCTTCAGCCTGCATCAGCCTCAGCCGGTATGAGCCTCAGCCTCAGCCTCAGCCTGCCTCAGCCTCAGCCTGCCTCAGCCTCAGCCTCAGCCTGCGTCAGCCTCAGCCTCAGCCTGCTTCAGCCTCAGCCTCAGTCTGCCTTCAGCCTCGGCCTGAGCCGCAGTCTGCCTCAGCCTCAGCCTGCATCAGCCTCAGCCCCAGCCTCAGGATCCCTCAGCATCAGCCTGCCTCAGCCTCAGCCTCAGCCTGCCTCTGCCTCAGTCTCAGCCTGCTTCAGCCTCAGCCTCAAACAGCCTTCAGCCTCCGCCTCAGCCTCAGCCTGCCTCAGCCTCAGCCTGCATCAGCCTCAGCCTCAGCCTCAGCCTGCCTCAGCATCAGCCTGCCTCAGCCTCAGCCTCAGCCTGCGTCAGCCTCAGCCTCAGCCAGCTTCAGCCTCAGCCTCAGTCTGCCTTCAGCCTCGGCCTCAGCCTCAGCTGCCTCAGCCTCAGGCTGCCTCAGCCTCAGCCTCAGCCTCAGAGCCTGCCTCAGCATCAGCCTGCCTCAGCCTCAGCCTCAGCCTGCCTCAGCCTCAGCCTCAGCCTCAGCCTGCTTCAGCCTCAGCCTCAGTCTGCCTTCAGCCTCGGCCTCAGCCTCAGGCTCAGCCTCAGCCTCGGCCTCAGCCTCAGCCTGCCTCAGCCTCAGCCTGCCTCAGCCTCAGCCTCAGCCTGCCTCAGCCTCAGCCTCAGACTGCTTCAGCCTCAGCCTCAGCCTGGCCTACAGTTGGCTCCGGGCATTTAAAATCATGCCCAGGAATAGAGTTCTGGGAACTCGAAGACCACGAAGTGGCCTACAGTTAGCTCCGTGCATTCAAAATCATGCCCAGGAATGGAGTTCTGGGAACTCGAAGACCACAAAGTGGCCTACAGTTGGCTCCGGGCATTCAAAATCATGCCCGGGAATGGAGTTCTGGGAACTCGAAGAACACGAAGTGGCCTACAGTTGGCTCCGGGCATTCAAAATCATGCCCAGGAATGGAGTTTTGGGAACTCGAAGACCACGAAGTGCGTTACTGTTGGCTAAAAAAGGAGTCCCCGGTTTTCCCGGCGCCCGTCCGGCATCTGCCCAGACCACCCTGGGGAGTCATGATGCTCTCTTTTAACCCTACTAGAAACCTATCAACACGAGCTTTTAGGTAAATACGCAGATGCGGCCTGGAAAAAGTCACGCTACCATCACTCACGAGTGTGTGCCCCTCCAATGCCGCTCCTAAAAACACGAGCGAGCTACTCGTTGAAGAGGGTGAGCCCGCGCCCCGCCGCGTCAGGCAGCGACGGGGTATACCTGCTGAGTCGAGAGTGCGGTGGGGTTGGACACTTCTGGTTCTCTTCTTCCTTTGTCTCCCTTCTTCGCCAGACCAGTCCCGCACAATCCTGACACAGATTGGAGGTCCCGCCGCCGTGAGCCCCAGCGCTGTATAACGTAGCAGAAATTAAACGCTGCAGTCATTATCTTATTGCCGCCATGATTTCCCTCGTGCAGCTTCCAGCCCCCGCAATTCTAATTCTGAGTCCTCCTCCTCCTCTTCCTCCTTCTCCTCCTCCTCCCCCTTCTCCTCCTCCCCCCCCCCGTCCTCCCCCCCTCCGCGCGGCGGGCTGCAGGCCGTGAGCCCCGTCGAGGACGACGGAACCCTCGCGCTGGTGGGCATGGCGACCGAGCACCCTGCCGGGGCCTCGGTCGCTGCACGCGGGGGGGAGAGGAGGGAGGAGGGCGGGGGGACGGGAAAGGGTGGTGGTGAAGGGTGAAGGGACGGTGGGGGAGGGTAGGGGAGCGGAGGGCGAGGAGGGGCAGGAGGAGGAGGAGGAGGAGGAGGAGGGAAAGGGGGAGGAGGAGGAGTAGGAGGAGGAGGAGGCAGAAAATAGGAGAACGAGGAGGAGGAGGAGGTGGAGGAGGAGGACGGGGAGGGAGAGGAGGTGTGATGATGATCATGGTGATGCTGCTGCTGATGATGATGCTGATGATGATGATGCTGCTGATGATGATGATGATGATGATGATGATGATGATGATGATGATGATGATGGGGATGAGGATTATGATGATGCTGATGCTGATGATGGTGATGCTGATGCTGATGCTGATGTCGATGATGCTGCTGATGATGATGATGCTGATGATGGTGATGATGATGCTGATGATGCTGATGCTGGCGAGTAGGATGATGCTGATGATTATGAAGATGATGCTGATGCTGATGCTGATGCTGATTATGCTGATGATGATATTGATGATGATGCTGATGCTGATGATGTTGATGATGCTGATGTTGCTGTTGCTGCTGATGATGATGATGGTGATGCTGATTCTGCTGATGATGATGAGTATGATACTGCTGCTGATGCTGCTGCTGCTGATGATGAGGATGATGATGTTGATGAGAAAGATGTGGGTGGTGGTGGTGGTGATGATGATGATGCTGATGATGATGATCTTGACGATGATGACGATGATGGTGGTGATGATGATGATGATGCTTTTACTGATGATGATGCTGATGATGATGCTGATGATGATGTTGATGTTGATGATGATGATGATGATGAGGAGGAGGAGGAGGAGGAGGAGGAGGAGGAGGAGGAGGAGGTGGAGGATGAGGTGGAAGAGGAAGGAATGCACGAAGGAAGGATTGCAGGAAGGAAAGAAGGAAGGAAGGACGGAGGGACGGAAGGAAGAACGGAAGAAAGGAAGGAAGGAATGAAGAAAAAGAGGAAGGAAGGAGGGAGGGAAGGAAAGCAGGAGGAGGAGGAGGAGGAGGAGGAGGAGGAGAGGAGGAGGAGGAGGAGGAGGAGGAGGAGGAGGAGGTGGAAAAGGAGGAGGAGGAAATGGAGGAGGAGGAGGAGGAGGAGGAGGAGGAGGAGGAGGAGGAGGAGGAGGGTCGGTACCGCTACCCTTCCCTCCTTTTCGGCTCTACGGGCCTCCTCGGAGGCTCTTGTCGCCACGGCTGGCATCGCGTTCAGACCGCTCTCGGGGAGTAGCGGTATTTTTGCCCCCAGAAGAGGGAGGAGAGGAGGCGATCAAGACGGAGACGCGGAGAGGGCCCAGACATGGTCGCGTCGCGGAAGAACCATGATGGGATGTTTTCGGGCCTCTGGGGTCCTTCGCTGGCCCCCCGCACCGTGAGACAAAGACTCGATATGAACAACCGGTCTTGGAGAAAGGGTCACGATTTCGGGGGGCCCGCATTGAAAAAAACATGACATCGGATGCCTGGGAAAGATGAGGAGGGAGGGGGGAGTAGGGGGAGCAGGAGGAGACTGAGACGGAGACGGAGGAAGAGGAGGAGGAGGAGGAGGAAGAGGAGGAGGAGGCGGAGAGGAGAAGGTGGGTATGGGAAGGAAGAGGAGAGGAGGGACGGAGAAGGAGGCAGAGTAGGAGGGGAAGGGAGGAAGAGGTAGACGAGGTGGGGGAGGCGGTCGAGGCGAGTTTGGACGAGAGGTGGTGGTGGAGGAGGCGAAGGCGGAGGAGGAGGCGGAGGAGGAGCAGGAGGTGGAGGAGGAGCAGGAGGAGGAAGAGGAAGAGGAAGGAGGAGGAGGATGAAGGAGGAAGGATGAGGAAGGAGGAGGA